TGTAGTTTAGCAGAATTGGTTCAGGGGGTTGGTGCATCAGTTACATGTTGTAGAAAAAAAAAGTAATTGTGTGTAAACAACTAAGAAAAACTGTAAAACTATACTGTGCCAATGCTAACAGTCTTAAGAACACCGTTGACTTCTCTGGGCTCAGAGGCATATTGGATGGGCCATCACACAGTGGAAACGTGTGCTGTGGTCAGATGATAAATGTTGTGTCATCCAGACAAGTTCAAAACCAAGGGTCTGTCATGGTATGGGGATATGTTAATGCCTTTGGCAAAGGTAACTTGCACATCTGTGATGGCACCATTAATGCTGAAAAGTACATTTTGGAGCACAATATGCTGTCTTCTTTTTTTTCAGGGATGCCAATGCATATTTCAACAAGACCATGCAAAACTGCATTCTGCACACATTACAAAGTCCTGGCAGTGGAGGAAGATAACACAGGTACTTGACTGGCCTGTCAGCAGTTCCGACCTGTTTCCAGTAGAAAATCTGTGGAGCATGTTGATGTGCAAAAAGTGACAAAGAAGCCCCCTTACTGTTGCCTGTGTAACGGAGGCCAGCTAGTAAGTGATGTGCAGGTAAACCTCACTCCTCTGATCCCTAAAGGTGTTCTAGCAACAGACGCTAGAGGCCATGGTCTTTAGCCTCCTTGGTAGAGTACCTGACTCTCTTCTGCCGGATCGATACCAGCTCAGAGCGGGTTGGGTGGTGTAGGACAGGCGGGGTTACATTGGTGCTGTGACCCAAATGGGAGTGAGGTTCAGGGGGGTGAGTGTAACGGAGGCCAGGTAGTATGTGCTGTGCAGGTAAACCTCACTCCTTTGACCTCTAAAGGTGCTCTAGCGACAGACTAGAGGCCATGGTCTTTAACCTCCTTGCAACCGACTCCCATGCGGAAGGTCGCCAGTTCGATACCAGCTCGGAGCGGGTGGGGTGGTGTAGGACCGATGGGGTTACACCTGCCTTAAGATGTGTTTGCTGGAAGAATGGGACAAAATTACACCTAAAACAATTCATCATTGTCTTTAGTCCCTAAATGATATTTTCAAGTGTTGTGAAAAGGAATGGCAAAATTACAAAGTGTAAATGCTTTACAATTTAAATTTTTGAATTAAGAACCAAAATTGAATACATGTTTATTCTGAAATAAACAAAAAATTATAATAATAAAATAAAAATCATGAGGAACACATTAAATAATGTTTGTTGTATTGTCTGCAATTAAATAAAAGCCAAAGTAAATTTAGAAATCACTACTTTTTTTATTTATGTCTTCCATACTGTCAACTTTTTCTGATTTGGGCTGATAGAAGGATTAGTAAAATATCTGTCCGACAAACAACATCCTAAGTTGTCTTCTGCGTTGAGTTAATTTTTATGACTGTAAACCCTGTCGCCCAAGATCTGTATAATATTCTTTAATAACAAAAACAATTCAGTTATTTGAAATACTGAAGTTACTTGTTAATGATTAACTAATAATTTACAATTACAATTTGCATTATGCATGATTACATGATTAAGTGGTGTTAATATATTTCTGATTGTTTTTTAAAAACATTTAAATTAATTATTTTTAAATGCGAAGCTTCATATGATTACAGTTAAACCACAAAACTCACATGAAATTTTTTATTTTTAACTTTAAAAATCTCTGGATGGTGATGCGATGGCGTTTCTGTGTGGAGTTTGCATGTTCTCCCTGCATTCGCGTGGGTTTCCTTGGGGTGCTCGGGTTTTACCCACAGTCCAAAGACATGCGGTATAGGTAAATTGGGTAGGCTAAATTGTCCATAGTGTATGAGCATGAGTGTGTATGGATGTTTCCCAGAGATGGGTTGCAGCTGGAAGGGCATCCGCAGCGTAAAATATATGTTGGATAAGTTGGTGGTTCATTCTGCTGTGGTGCCCCTTGATTAATAACATGACTAAGCCCAAAAGAAAATGAATGAATGAATGAATGAATGAATGAACTTCTCTGGACCATTTCTGTATTTTCAATTTCATCTAAAATATTTCTATTTGTGTTCCAAAAATCTCAAACTTAATTTATAAAACTTTTCATTTTTGGGTGAAACCTTCAAGTTTGTGCGGATTCAAAAATGTAAATATGCTTTTGAGATTGCTAAAAGGTTTCTTATATTGTCTCCTCGCATAGATAATTCATTCAAACTTCAAGTAGAGCTATAGCTGTTTTGTTGCATGCTGATGAAAGTGAAACCATCAGCAACCCACAAAAAAATTTTCAAAAAAACTTCTGAAAGCAGAAGCAGAAAGTTCTTTACAGACCTCAAAAATAATAACTAGCAGATGGTGTGGATGGTTTGAAAATGAAAGTCAGAACAGTGAGTCAGTCATTGAATAAATACAGTAGGTACAGAAAGTATTTAGACCCCCTAACATTTTTCACTCTATTATATTGGAGCCATTTGCAAAAAACATTTAAGGTATTTTTCCTTAATTTACACACAGCACCCCATAATGACAGAAAAACAGTATTGTTGACACTTTTGCAGAAAAAAGAAAAAACTATGCTGTGACACTCATGTTTAACTCAGATGCTGTCCATTTCTTCTGATCGTCTGAGATGTTTCTACACCTTCATTTAAGTCCCGCTGTGTTTTATTATACTGATCGGACCAGATTAGGAACAGAGCAAGACACATGAAAGACTGCATGGAGTTTGCTTGAAAAGTGAGAAATGAGATTCTCTGGTCTGATGAGACCAAGATAGAACATTTTGGCCTTCTAAGTGGTATGTGTGGAGAAAAACAGGCACTGCTCGTAACAGTCCCAACAACAAAGCATGGTGGTGGCAGCAACATGCTGTGGGTTGTTTTTCAGCTGCAGGCACAGGACAACTGGTTGCAATCAAGGGAGATATAAAAGATAATTTGATTATAACCTACCATTTCATTGGCTGATATTAAGATCAATGCCTTGGCTGACATTTAGAATAATGCCTGGTATTTAAATGTTTCTGTTGTGTCACATTGTGTTGTTTTGTCCCATGTTAAGACATGGTGTAACGCATTACAAAAGTAATGTGATTATAATATATATAATTTTTTTGCAGTCATTTATTGCATTACTATTTTAAACAATTTTTTTTAAATCATCACTTGTTACGATCTTAGAATTGCAAGTTACAACAACGAATTTTAACTCAGAAAGGTGTTAGTTTTTTGTGAGACTCACATTTCAACCAATTCCCAGGGTCTCAAGCACCACCTTGTTATTCTTATGGTAATGGAACCAGATCAGTCTCAATAATAACATTTAGAAAAAGTAAAATTCATACATGCAGCATATTTCACAAAAGTCTTTAAAAGCCTTAGTGTTCATGTGTCCACTGTAGATATAATAGTCACTGGTCCACATGCAGGAATTTTGTGTGCTCTGAGATTGTTTGTGAAGTGAATATGGTTTTATTTTTTGGATGTTGTGTACACCACATCAGTGTTTTTCCCAATAACTGCTTACACTAGAGCTGATGTCTCACATTACTTTTAAATAGGTCTGACCTCTTATAACTAAAGTACTTCCATAGTGTTGAAGTATAGCTCCTGTTAACACAATTGTCATTGGTTGTTGACAAGTTGCTCCTGCTCTCAGAGGTGTTGCACTATATGTCATCATGTTTCAATATTGTTGATATTACAATATGACTTCTTGTTATTACTGTATGTAATAATACAACGTTATACCAGTATTATCATGTACAAAATGATATGGAACACCACTATACAGCATACATTTTGTTAAAATTCATTATCCAGTTTGTGGTAACATTTCCTATTCGAACATGACTGCACTGAAGTGCACAAAGCGAGGTCCATAAAGACATGAATGAGTAAGTGTAGTGTGGAGGAAATTGAAAGGCCAGCAGAGTCCTAACCTCAACCTGACAGAACAGCTTTTATGATGAATTAGAGACTGCAAGCCAGACATTCTCATCCAACAACAGTGCCTGACCTCACAAACGCACTTCTTGAAGAATGGCCAGAGAAAACAAATTCTTAATGTGGAAATCCCACACAGAACAGTTTAAGCTGTTCTGGTTGAAAATGGTGCCCCAACTTCATATTAAACCTATGGGTTCAGCTTGAATGTTAATGATTAAATGTGCAATATTGACACCCAGTGGTCAAACCTAGAACTGAGACAAACATTAATCACTTAGCATGTATGTTCAACAACATTAAAGAGGTTTAATATGTATCAATTAGATTCTAAACCTTACCATCTTGGGCTTTTAAATAGCTGTAGTATTTAATTGTTTCTTTAATGTAGCATTTGGTGCTGACTGTCATGCTTGTCGCTAGAATCTTATGTCGCGTGTTAGTTCACAGTTTTACAAGGCAACCTGCTCAGGTAATGTTTACATTTGTAATATTTCTGTTACTTGCTAATCAAAAACATTGGACATTATAAATCCGCATTTAAGTCTCATATCGATTTTATAATTAAAAGTTTGTTATTCATTTCAAGTAAGAAAATGTCAATAAATTTTTCCTATAATTATTCTTATTATTTACAATAATATTTCTGATATTAATATAAAACCTTTGAATACCGTTTTCAACTCTACGTAGGTTTGTTTAAAGATATTTTAACAGAACTCTCAGAATCTTATGACTTGTTACAAGCTAAATTCCTTAGACAATATCATTGGTATTTGGTTCTTTTTAAATGTGTTTATTTTAGTTGCCCTTACCTATTTAAAGCAGTTATTTTTTTTGTTCCATGTTATGTTTTAGAAGAGCCAAAAACTAACATCTATCACCTTTAAATTTCATGTGCCAAACTTTTTGGCAACCATGCTCACTACATCTGCAATGCCACATGTGCAGTCTTCCAAATAATAAAAAGGTAATCTATAAAATGTAGTTGTTTAAACAAATGTACCATAGAACAGAGGAGAAATTGAGCCTCATTTAACTATGACATGGTGTGAGACGAGCGAATGCAACAAGAAGCACAGAACATTTTGTTAATTGCTTTATTATGTAAAAGTTTGCACGTCTCCAGAAATGTGTGGCCAGATCCCCATAATTACGGTAACACCTTTTCTGCAATGTATTGTTTTGAGGTAAAGAAAAATGATGAGATTATGCTAAACTGAAAAAAGAGAAGGCATAACAGAAACATTAGTCAAAGACATTCTGTTTAACCACAGATCAAAGATCTTTGGCTGTAATTGTTTTGGGCAGAACAATTGATTGGTCATTTGTTGTTATGTCCTAGTCAGCAGTCAGACCAGAGTGCCAGAAGTACCATGAGTACAAAAATCCCAGCAGATCAACTGCACTTGCATATTAGTCATCATCATTCTCTTCATCCGAGTCCATTACACGACGTCGATTAAACTAGGGAAGAAATAGTGAAATTTACTTTCCACATTCTACTCAGATTTTACTTTCATGCATTTAGTACGTGACTTTAAATGTATCAGAGCAAAAAATTTATTTCATTTCTAAATATTTAATAATCAAAATCTCAAGAAAAGATAAAAAAAAAGTCATAAAATATTCACCTTTACAGTGGTTTTCTTCTCTGTTTGTTGACTTACTTTCTCCAAGATCTCTATTAATCCAGCTTCTGTAATCTAAAGATTTTACACCAAATTAGACATGCCAAATTACAAGAATTTAATATACTGTGATAAAGGACATAAACAATCTTGAATTATTGAAACTTTTAGTGTGCTTTTTAAAACATTCACATTGTATTTGCAGTAGTGTTCATAACTGGAGACTTCATTGATTAGATTAATGTTTCTCCACTTCACCAATAGCTGGTGTGTGGTGAGCGCACTGGCGCCGTTGTCCTGTGGCTGCCGTCGCATCATCCAAGTGGATGCTGCACACTGGTGGTGGTGTGGAGAGACGCCCGTCATGATTGTAAAGCGCTTTGGGTGTATGGCCATACACAATAAATGCGCTATATAAATACACATTACATTACATTACATTAATCGTCGAAAACAAAGACTGAAATAATTTTTTTACTGTTTAATACGGCTCCTATATTTAACATTAGTAACATAACTAAATTCATGCTGAAAACTACAAAAGCTTTTTTTTAAGCTTAGGTGATGTTAATTTCCTAGATAGTGGCATTAAATGAAGTTAATAACTAATACAATTCAGTTGCATTTTTAACTCATTAAGATGGTAACTGTTGTAAATACCTTTTTGTAGTAATGTATTTTTCTCACTGTTGAATTTACTGCATTAACTAACATTTACTAATAAGACTTATAATAATAGTTTTGATAATAATAATAATAATAATAATATTTAAGAGCCTACAAAAATGCTGTAAGACTTTGCAAATACAGACATACACATTTTCATTTCTAGGAAAGCTGTCAGGAAACTTGTTCAGCCTCAGTCCCTGTAACATTTTCATATTGATTTTTCTCCCACTTTCCTTATTTGAAAAATAAAGATTAAAACCTAACAAAAGTGTGTGTGTGTGTGTGTGTGTGTGTGTGTGTGTGTGTATATATATGTTAAGAAAATTATTGAAACTGCTCATTGTCATCCAATCCAAGTCAATGATTTATGCTTTGCTAAAAGTGATTCCGCTAGATCAGCTGAATGGATTCAAAAATGTTTAAACTCAAGTCTTCACTCAAGGGAACTTATTTCCAAAAATAAATGCAATTTCCTTTAATTCAATTTGGGTATTACATTTTTCAATTTAGTTTTGCAACACATGCAACTGTTACAAATTTCATGTTAAAACTGAGGTTGGAAATGACAAATGTAATTTCGTTTTGCATTAAACTTTGCACACATGTCAGAGAATGCATATTTAAATAAATACATTGCCATTGTACACACTCCAGTGTCATTTTGCATATAACATTTCAAAATTAATTTTGCCACTCATCTACTTTCACTGTATTGGAGGCTGGCTTGTGGCTACTTAAATTGGTCAGGTGGATGTCGAAAACCAAGGGATTGAATGTACAATGGCAGCCACTTTTTCTTTAAAAGCGTGTGAAAAACAAACATTACCTGAAAGATAACAGTGGACTCTTATAAATGTTATGTGCCATTAATCTCAGGAACATATTATTTGGCCTATAGGTTCAATAACAGGGTATATGCAAGAGTCCTACAAGAAAATTTGAAATACCTTTTTAAGACTTTTTAAAGACCTTCACAGAATATTTTAAGACCTCGTCACCACTTAAAGTTCTAATCAGTATCAAACCTTTAACTTGATAAACAGTTGCTATTAAACAGTTAAATTAACGAATAGAGCACAACTGTGCAACAAAACTTTGATAAGCTCAGAAGAAACAAACCTTGAAAGAATACATTATGAAGTTGTGTTCAGCGACAGGTTTCAGCCAGTTTAAACTCGTCTTTCTTCAACCAGAAGTATGGAAACTTGCATTTACCCATTTTGCCATCTATTCTGCTCGCTACATGTGAGCAGTGTCAGAGAGAGTGTCACATCATCTTCCCACGTTTGGCAATATAAATATAGGTATGTGTAAAAAAATATATATTATTTTCAAAATATAAATAAAATGACAAGTTTTATATTATAAAAGGCATATGAGAAGTTTAATACAACATCAGGTACTTGAGGACAAAAACGTGTTGTTTAGAGAGCTGAAGCAATAAATATATATTTTAGCATACCCTCTATCATATCCTGCATTAGCACCCCCAAAACAGGTGGTTTTTGGAGAAGTAACTTATTTGGAGAACTAAAAAAAAATAGGAAAAATATTATTGCTTTTTGGTAATAATTAATCTGAGAAATTATTACTAATAGTCCTGTTGATATTTGAGAGAAGTGCACTCAAGTGGCCACAATTGTACATTTTCAGATAAGTTCTGGGATTTTCAACTTTTACATGCTTTTGTTGAACACATGGCCTACACAGCATTGGGGATGTATGAGGCTTTACTTTAGTTCAGTCATGACTTAATTGTTAAATAGCCGAAAGAGTCTGGATACCAACTGAGACAGTAGGTGGGGGAGTAATGAAAAAAACCCCAACTAAGGTGCCACAGCAAAAAAAAAAAAAAAGAAGCTCAATGCTCTGGAGCGTGTTCTTGACTCAAAGCCATGTGTGAGCACTTGAATGGGTGAAACGCAGAGTACAACATTCTAAGTATGGGAGACCAAGTATTTTAAGTGTTTGTCACATCATAATCTTTCCTTTTGGCATCTAACTTCTTACCTTTCCTCCAAGTTGTCCAAACCGAGCCATCTGTATCAAGTAATTCTCCACAGCTTTTGCTTTATCTGGCTTCACAAGAGCCAAATTACTCACTAAAAGGGCAGAAGAAAAAAGGATTTCAAAAGACATTTGCAGATTTTTATTTTTAAATACAACAGTTGTTCATTTTCAAAGATCATTGCAGATGCATATAGTACACCAAAATAGAAAACCTAACAGGAAAAAAGCTTGCTTAAAGATGGAATTCTAATGGTCTCAGAAACACTGTAGAAAATGTAGATTAACACTTAAACAAACAATTTAGTGACAGCTGCTGCTTGTCCATTGTCCATGTTCAAGCATGAGCTCGTTTTCTTTGTGATCAATATAGAGAAGGGTGATTTTTCATATCAATTAAAATTTTCATCTTAAAATGGATTTTTCTTAAATCGAAAAATCATATTATTGAAACAAAGATATTAAATAACACTGTCATTGAACCAATAACAAAGGCTATTGTACGACCACATGATGGCTCACCTCATTAACCTCTCAAGAGTGAACGAACCTAGCAGGTATAGAGATAGCACCTTAGGCCCCGTTTACACTAGTGCGTTTTAGTTTTAAAACGACGTTGTAGAATGAAAACGATCCGCGTCCACACTCGCGTTTTACCCAGCGTTTCTAAACAGATCTCCGTCCACACCAAAACGCTGAAAACGCACATCACGTGACCACACACACACTCTTGGGCAAGCGCTGCAGCCCATGTACCCAGATGAGAGCTGTGCTAGTCGGACTTCTGATCAAGCATCTCCCGCTGGATCTAATCTCACTATATTTATTAAACGGGATATTTCATTCATCTTGTTGTCTTTATCTAACGACATATTTCCTGACTTTGGTCATTGGAATATATTAGCCTACTTGTTCTCAGATAACGTGTTTTGGCTGAGCGCAAAGATAAGTTAATGATTAATGTAACCACGTAGCCTATTCTGTATTATTGACTGATCGCTAGCCTTTTCCAAAAATGTATAAACTTATTGTATGTTATACTTTTATAATGGCCATTATCGATTATTAAAACTGATATTCAGCAAAAGAGAGGGTGTGTTTCGTATTTTGACTGAAATTGAAAGGAGGCTGTTATTATTGGCTCTGTTTAGTTATAAATATCCACACAGTGAAGATGACGCTCATATGCAGCACGACGCCTTAACATAACTGCTGTCTGTTAAGTTGCTAATATTAAAATGAAAATAGACAGTTCATTAAATCATGTTTACATTTTTTTGTTGAGAAAGTGAAACAACGTAGCCAGGGTGAATGAAGTTATAAAGTACACTGTTCCCTTTAAAGATTGACGCGTGTCCTCTGTATAGTCTGTTTTCCATATCAAACTGAGAAGAAGAGACTGCAGTCTTGATCAAACTTGCGAAGTCTGAACTTACACGGAGAGCATGCAGGACTGAACTGTGTGTGTTAGGCTACTTAATATTGAGGAAAAGCCCCAATCAGAGAGGCGATTGTCGGCAGCCCCACCTCCGTTTTCAGATGTCTCCGTTTTCCATCATCCACACTGAGACGGAGCAGCAGCGTTTCAGAATGAAAACGGCCTCTCCAGCGTTTTCAAAACGTTCCGTTTTCGGCGCTCGAGAACTCCGGCGTAGTGTGGACGGTTGGCGTAACCGTAGCAAAACTTATGCGTTTTCAAACTAAGGTTTGAAACGGGGCCTTAAACAAGGAGACAAATTTAACTCAATTGAATTTGGTTAGATTTAAATGGCTCTTTATTTCAGGATGATCTTATACCAAAGAAAGGTCAAAATCTTGACCTGTGTGACCATCAAAATATATTTGAGAGCATTTGTATGGGCCCACATAATTGTTGTATAGCAACCTGTTTTCATTACTCAAACTTGCACCGCTGTGTACTGACACAGAAACTGGTCTGTCCAGATTGATTTATATTAGCAATAGCAGTCACTCAGTCACTGCTTTCTGCTGTTAGATGACAGCGAGCTCTGACTGTGAGAGATGTAAAGGGCTTTAAAAAGAGGGAATGAATAAATCAAAAGTTACAAGTAATAGTGCCAATGATAGTGAGCATGTGGTGAATGTTGATCCACAAGTCTGAAACTGAAAATATCTCCATATATTGCTTTCACAGCACGTTCAATGCCAATGGCACATAAACTGCAGGTTTCTCTTAATCAAACATAAGCATGTGTAGCCAAGTTGTTGCTTTGGAAGCAAACAGAAACCATATAAAGAATGGTAGAAGCCGGGCTTCTCTGGTTATTTCTTGAGATGATTATTAATTTTCCATTTAGTTACTGATGATTGCTTTTCAGCTTTCAGCTTTGAATTCGATTCATTAAGATTCATTAATCTTACTTTTTTAGTATGTTTAATAGTAGAAACATTATTAAATTGACAAGGATTAAAAAACAATAGTCTAATAGAGTTTTATACAGCAAAGTTGCTTATTTTAAGTTTTATTTTTCCTAATGTAACAGTTGAACTCTTTGTAGCAGAAATCTCATGTTATTAATATGTGGCAGTACACTCAGGGCAGCAAGATGGAGAGAAATGTAATTTATTATCATCATAATTTTTAATATTGGACATTCAAGGCATTTGAGTTTTAGTTAGAATGTTGTTGCTGTTTTTTTGTTTTGTTTTGTTTTTTGACGTTATTTTCAAATATAGTAAATCATTAATATACATTCTGTACTAGCGGTGCATATCCAGTTTTGGTTTGGTGATGCTTTTAAATCTTTTAAGTAGGGAGCATCAGTGCTACTAAATAAATAGCTTGAGCCCCGTTTATGTTTGGCATGCCCACAAAGAATACAACATTCCTTGACAAAATAAAAATTAAATCACTAATAAGGAAATATTACTTCAGTCATGTTGTTATATATTTTTTTTGAAAATTGAATTGAAATTGAATTTAAGCAGCATTGCATTTAAGTAATAGGTCACTCAAAAATTATAATTTACCATTTACTCACCCTCAAGTGATTCAAAACCTTTAATTTTTGAACACAAAAGAAGATATTTTGAAAAAAGCTGTAAACCTGTAACCATTGACCCCTGATGGAAAAGTGTACTTGAGTATACTTGAACATATACTGAAAAACAATTAAGTACATTTTTAGTACAATCTTGTTTTTGTACTAAATAAAGTTACATAAAAATATATACACTATAAATATACTAATTAAAAGTATACTTTTACTTAAGTACAACTGTGAAACACCACTGATATTTAAACTGGGAGGGGGAAAAAACTGAGTGATAGGAAAACATATTTTTAGTTTTTTTTGCGTTCCCTCACAAAGATGATTTGCGTTATCTCGCAAAACTGTTTCTCTACAAACACTTCCTGTTCACTTCATTCATGTAAACCCTCCCTTTTTTGCCAAAATTCTCCCGTATTTTGCCATTCTATCCCACTATCATTCTTTCATTAAGTAAGTATTTTCCCATATTTCTGATATATTTTTAATTCTTGAAAGCATGCTGAAATTAATATTAAAATGTCTGCATTCCCTTTCTTTACATTAAAGCTGTGCGTCGATCGTCGCCTTTCATTTGCTACCTCTGAACCAGTGAATGCATGTATAAGCGCTGACTGACAGACGCGCTCCGAAGAATAAACTGATCCCAGATCAGATTCTGTCCGCGCCATATAAAGTGACACCTTTGTTATCAAACAAGTGCGCAGCAAATGAATCTCATGCTTTGTTTTGTTTGATAACAGAGGTGTCACTGTAAGAATGCACAGATCTATAATGAAAGCATTCCAATACTTTAGAAACTGTGCTAATTTAAGATAAAATTTGTTGTTTTAAATAAAACACACAGAACGGACATGTTTACATATTATTCAGTGTATTCGTCTGTTTAAACACACACCTGAATCCAAAAGTGTCCTGCACTTTGGCTCCTTTATAAATGGCGTGTACAGAAGCTGATCTGGGATCAGTTTATTGTACGGAGCGCGTCTGTCAGCGTTTATACATGCATTCACTGCTTCAGAGGTTGCATATGACAGGCGATAAATGACAATATCTAGATAACGCAAAATCTTTGCGAGGGAACGCTAAAACCTCAGAAATATGTTTTCCTATTACTCAGTTTTTTTTTTTATCCCACCCAGTTTTTTTTTTCTTCCACCAATTGTTTTTCCCCATCATCACGTCCCTTCCGGGGGAAGTACGGAGACGTACTTTTACATAGATATCGTAAGTATAAACTGAATTGAACTTTTAAAAAATATTTAAATAAACTTTTATAAAGCAATAAAGTGTACTACCATAAAATATGCTGACTGTAATGCTTAAAAGTATCATTTGAATGCATTTGATGGTATAAATTGAATTTTCCCTGTGACACTTAAGTACACCTAAAATGATACACTAATATTAAAAACAACCACATCACATTCAATTTATGCAGAAAACCAAGTAATCCCAAAGGGTTCACATACCTTTTCCTGCAACTGTATAACAAGACCATTGTGTGTAATATATATCTATTTTTACATCATTGTCTAAACAAAGAGTTTTAGTGACTAATATCAAACTTACAATTTAACGTTTGTGTAATATTCACTTGTTTGTACATTTATTATTTGAATATCATTGAATACGTTATTTGTTCTAACTATAAAATCTGTGACATTTAAATAGATGTTTGAACCACCAGCTGTTGGTTATAACATGAGCTCTATATTCTGTTCATATTTGTTTTATTTTGGCTATATTAACAGCAGTTTTCATTTTTTTTATTTTTTTTTATTTTTATTTTTTTAACCATTAAGGTCAATATTATTAGCCCCTTGAACTATATTTTTTGATTGTCTACAGAACAAACCATCATTATAAAATGACTTGCCCAATTACCCTATTTAAGCCTTTAAATTGTACTTTAAGCTGAATACTAGTATCTTGAAAACATTTAATAAAATGAAAAAATTTGTGGAAAAAAAAAGAAATTAGGAAAAAATATACAGGGGCTCATAGTGTGTGGACGAGTGTGTATCGGTGTTTCCCAGTGATGATTTGCAGCTGGAAGGGCTGCTGCGTTAAACATGTGCTGGATAAGTTGGCGGTTGATTCCCCTGTGGCGAACCCTGATTAATAAAGGTAGTAAGCCGAAAAGAATATATATATATATATATATATATATATATATATATATATATATATATATATACATACATACATACACATACACACACACACACAACAGTTCTGTCTGGTTCTTAAATCTGATTGGCTGATAGCCGTGCGATATTTCGCCAGTAACATCACACAAAGGCTTCTGTACCCTTCACCTCCGAGTATTACTCTGCCCACATAAAACCAGCAACAGAGAGACGCTACAGTTTGATGCTGCGTTAACACCAAACGCGGAACGCGCGGGTAAATCGCGCTATTCTGACGAAAATAGTCGCATGAACATTTAAGGTTACTCGCTTCATTCGCCCATCAAATTCACCAAGAATAGACGCGGATTTGCATGATGGGGAGGGCTTCTGTCTGCCCGGTGACTCTAGCTTCGTTGCTTAATGGCTAACATGGATTTTTATGAGGAAAATAACAGTGTTTATGTGCTTTATGAAGGCTGAAAAACAGCATCGATACGTTTAGGACCGTTTCTGAGTCCACTAGATCCTTTCAGAGTTGCATTAAGCTCTGTGAGCTCATTAACTCCTCCAGAAACTGAACCTGGATGACGGATGCTTTTAACGGTGCTTCTGACTGAGCCAAGCTCAGTTTGATAAACTTTTTGTCGGTGTCAGCTGGAGGATTTCTCCCGGGACAGCGACAACAGGTCATACATCACAATCACACCCCCACAAAAGCTAGCTCCTGATTGGTTAACGTGGAGCGAATGTCCAGTAAAGTTCAGATTTTCGAACTCGAGCTATACTCGCAAATCGCTCAATTCGCGTGTATCGCGCCACAGGATGTCTATTCTAAATTTTTGCATCGACTTAACATGTAAATCACTCACGCTTGACGCACGTTCCATGTCAGGTGTAAAAGCAGCATGACAAGTACTACTGTAGTTAGACAACAAAATGTACCTTTGAGGCTTTTTTTAGTCGAGAATGTAGTTGTTTAGATCGCAACTATGCAGCTTATTTGTATAAGTAGTGCCTATTTTAAAATATGTACAATTTCTGAGAGAGCTGGTCGGCGACGGTTGACGTTTTCTATCCACAACATGGTGACAAAACTGCATAATAAACCCTTACGCTTAGAAGATATAACAGTCAGATTTCTAACTACAGCAGACCATATCAATATTAAACTAGTAAGCACATCTGCCAACACTTCCGTTGTTTATGGGAGTATCCTGTATTTCAGACCCGTCTCTTGCAACCATCCTGTTTTTATTTCTTCCTAAAAAAACTCCCATAATTTCACCCATCCCCTTCTTTGATACAGGCTGTAAATTAACAACCCCGGGGTTGGCAACTTTGGTACAGTACTCGATCGAAGGGGCCGCCCAAACCTAGCTGCATCCTATCCCGGTTCTCAACCTCACCCCCGAACACCCTCTCCAACCCCTGGTCTCCCAGATTTTCAGAGACATGTTGGCAGGTATATTTGTAAGTGATATTATAAGTCAATCTCTCTCTTGTATGTTGTAGTGCTGTATTTATACCGATTTGCTCACATATCAGGAATGTGTGTTGTGTTGGCAGATTGAAATAAGTAAAGTCCGCATGTGTTTAGCGTTTTTACTTATCGCAAACTCAACATCATGCTGCAGGGCTCGAAATTGCTACCATTTTGGTCGCATATGCGCCCGAAATTTTATCTATGCGACCTTAAAATATATTTGGGAGCATTTCTGCGAGTGCTTAAAATTGTTATGTGCGACCAGTTTTTACTGTAAAATGTTCACCACATGCGCGGATTCGGGAGACATTCACCAGAATGCATCTCTGCACTTGCAACGCGAAACGCAGCGCTCGGGAATGGTTTAAAACAGTTGTCATGTCAACTTGCTGCAGTAAACAAATCCAAGTCCGTAATGCTTGCCCTGCCTTCACGCTCTTCTTATTGGCCCACTGCTCTAGCACTGAACGCGAATTATTGGTTAATATCAGCTGTCAATCACTCAGTCAGCGCTTCTGGCTTGGGATGACAGAGAGAGCTACTACCGCGAAAAATTGTAAAGCGCTGAAGAGGAGAATGAAGATAACACTGACAGATTCTGTTTTAGAAACCATGACATCTAAAGTTATAAATACTGAAACATCTTAGTAGTGATCATGTGCTAAATGTTAATCCACTATCTACACTTTTCCAAGAGTAGAAGACTTCCATTGGCTTCAAGTCCGCTATAAAAAGTCTGTGGGATGGAGTTTTCAGGTAACTGTTTGCCACATCTAGCATGAGAGCTTCTGTTTAATCCTTCATATAATCGCCAAATGCCGTCCGCCATGCAAGAGACAGCTATATGTCAAATTGAACACCACGTACACCATCGCTTGCAACGGGCTTGCATTGAGTAAACTAATATCGCTACTCATAAAAATAAACCGGTATTGCTATTAACATGTATGCATATAATAAGCTACAATATGTGTCAAAAGCATTAGTGCAATATCAGACAGCACTTGTGAGAACAGCACAGTTATACCGTTAACAGATTCATTCAAGCAGTGTGTGCAGGGCCGATGAGTGCTCCGTGTATCTTTTGCTCACTCAGTTCTGTTATAAAAATCTATTTTCTTGTGATAACGGGATTTCCTTGAGACATATTTTCCTTACGCTTGCATTTATATATATTTTTTTGCTTGTTAGTTTGTTTAGTGTTAATTTCAAATACAATAAATATGTTTGAATAAAACTTGTAGTAACGGTGCTTATAATTGGTGGGTGCGACTAAATTTTGGCTGATGCGCCTAAATTTTTAAAGTTAGGAGCACCGGTGCTACCAAGCAAAACGGTTAATTTCGAGCCCTGTGCTGGTAGTGATTTTGTTGTTATTTAATTAATTATTGTAAAATCCCAATTGCAATAAAGAAATACTGTAGACTGTAACACTGTAGGAAGATATCTCTGTAGATGGATGGCATTTCATGTAAAGTTCAGCCCTATAATTTTAAAGAGATCACTTTAGACAAAGAGTCTATTAAACACTAGCTCTTAAAAGACGTTGGTGAATTAGTAACGGCTTCTGCTGTTCTGACGTAAGCTGCTAAAGTGAATGAATGGTGGAAGAAAGTTGTTCCTAATAAAACAGGGTTTTAGACTCTCCTTGTTTGATTTTAAAATTTATATACATGATTGTGCCGTTGAACTGTTGTATAAATGCAATATCACACTCGTAGCATTGCAATATGGCTGTATATCAGCACTGGTGGGACGCTAAAGTCCTCGGCTTAATATATATTTGTGTGGCATGTAGATTACGGAGGGGTGCTCGTGACGAAAGTGAAGAGGGTTGGGAAGTCACGGAAAGTGAAAGTGAATAGCGGACTGTAGAGGAGGGCGGTTGAGGAGGGGGAAATCGGTAAAAGGAGGTGCCCTGGGCTTCTCCACACCGTAACTCGTAATCGTAAACCAAGATTTGGGAAAGATAGTGAAGGTAGACTTATCAGAGGGCAATACATTTTTCACATAGTCCACAGACCAAGATTTTCACTGGTGGCACCATTAGAACTGATGTTTGGCATTGGCACCAAAGGTTGGCTATAGCCAACCCAAAGGTTGACCAAAGAGTGATCAAAGGTTGGGCTATAGCACCCCAGCTATGTATATTGAGACTGTGGAGCTCCCTTTGAACCGTTTTAGTGAAAGCAGGAGAGTTGAGGTGCCAGTGTTTTAGTTTCATTGTGCAACCCCTGTATGTGCGAATGTAAATAAAAGCCCACACCAACATCTGCTCATTAAGACTTATCTTAAAGCACAATTTTTACAGAATCTCTGGAAAGAATATAGAAACTGTTAAGCAAAGGAAATCTGTCTGTCACAGAAATGCTTGCATGATAATACAACAGCTTGTAAAGTTTGTAAAGGAACTTACATCTGGCACGTGCAGACTGATCCAAGACTTGAGCCAATATAGAGTTTCTCATCTCAGTCTCTCTGTAAAAGTCAAAGTAACACTGCTATAAGAATGTTCAGACATGAGTTAAACACAAACAAAATAATAAAATCAATCAAAAGTTATATTTATATATAACATTTTAAAAAATTTTAAGCGTGTCTCACTGTCTATTTATATGATACTTAAATGGGCTACAGAGCTGTATAGAAT